TAGCACGTGGATCTGGCTCACGTGGCGAGGAGTGGAGGAGAGATCTTGGGGTTAGGATAAATTCAGCATTCACAGGAAGGAGAGAGCAATTATACCCAGAATAATCTGCATGAGCCAAGTCATTCCCTATGCCTGGGTGGAGTTAGGGGACAAAGAGGAGTGCTCTACCCTGTGTTGTGGGGATGGCAAGACTCAGAGAAAGGTGACTCTGGGGGGAAGGGAGGCAGAGAAATACAGCCAGCCTTCTGCTCCTGTGTCTTGGCCCTGGCTAGTTGAGGGACGTAACTTGGTTTACACTGTTCCAGGAACAAATGTAAATAACTATAAGAAACACAGATGACACCAGAGATCACAAATCCTAAACCAGCTGAACCACTTGGCAAGTCCTGGAGGGTGACTGGGTGCAGAGGTGGGCAGTGGATTGTGTGGGTAGGCCCAGGCCCCTGTCATCATCTCATCCCAGAGACTGTTGTAACAAATGCCAGGTCTCTAAGTCTCAATGCTGCATGGAGTTCCTGCTTTTCCTGCTGGCTCTCTGCTCTTGCTCACCATAGCAACTCCTTTGAATTCTCCTCCAGCCTCCTCCTGCCCCRGTGCCTCCCCCTTGGCTCTTGTCAGGCAACCCTCCTCCTCACTCACTCAGGAAACGGACCTTTCTCACTCTGCTGCAACTGGACTCGCCTTTCCCTCCCTCCCTCAGACACAGCATGACTCTGTCCAATAGAACTTTCCGCAGTGGTAGCCATGTTCTGTCCCATCACTATCTGAAAGGTAGCCACTGGCCAGGTGTGGGCATTGAAACAGCTGGTATAACAGGGGGACTGGTTTTTTTCACTTCATCTCATTTTAAGTAATATAAATATGAACAGCCACATGCGGGAGAGGCCACTTACAGACAGCACCTGTATGGTGCAGCTGGAAGAAGACCAGAATGCCCGGTTTTCTGCTAACCCTTGACATCACTAAGCAGGAGACTCCTGACCAATCTATTATACAAATTCTGAATTAGAGCATGAGACGAAGGGAGAGAGGGTTGGAAAGGCACAAATATAGTGGGGAAAATGTTGCTTTGACTTTTTTTAGTCATTGCAGTTCTTAAAAGAGAAGCCACGGTGCACCATGGCTGGCAGGTGGCGCATCCCAGGACAGTAAGACTCATGCCATTGCTGCAAAGCCAGCCTGTACTGACACAGACATGGAGTCTGAACAGGAGGAAGGACCAAACACCAACCAGGTAGAGGAGGGTGCGGTGTCCCCACTGGAGAGTTATTTTAAAGGGTATCTGGTTATCTTAACATTTCCTACCTTAGTACAGAATGTGTGTGACTTGCAAGTCCCATTTTGTGTAGTGATTCAGCTCACTTCTGGTGGTTCCATGACATTCCCAATACTGACATAGCTTTTTAAATCTGACAAGTTCAAGTACCACATCCCCCTCCCCCACAMAGTTAACCAATGGCTCCGAGATGCTATTTTGGAGTAATTTATGTCTCTGCTGATTTTAAGTGTTTTTATGGTACACCAAGCTCCCACCTATTTTGGGGTCAGTCTGTCGCCTGCTTACTAGTGCTGCTTTATCTACATAGCTCGGGCCAGGTTCATATGTCCTCTTGTGGCCCCTGGCCATGCTCTTCCTGTGGGCTTTGGCACATATTGCCTTCTGTTCTTCCTCCCCTCCCAGGGACCTCTGCTTAGTCTGGGCACTGGTGTCCTTCTTCAGCCCCCTCTAGGTCACAGTACCCTTGATCCTGGACAGACCCATGGCTCCCTCTGCTCATTCCTCAGTGCAGCCAGAGGAGATTCTGCAAGGGTGCAAATGAGATCCTGCCATGCCCCTCTTTATACACCCGGTACACCCACCGACTGCTCTTAGGATAAATTCCACATTCCTGACACACATAAGTCTGAATGGGAGTGACCTTCCTCCCCAGCATACATCACCAAGGATCTGGGTGCAAGTAGTTTATTTGGGGAGTTGGGCCAGGGAGGAGAAGGTGGCCAATGCATGAAGCAGAAAGGGTAGGTGTGACTGAGGGCATCTGGGTTCAGTCCCACTGGGGACTTCTGGGAGGAGCCCTGGAACTGGGGCATTTAACCAGCAGTGCCCCTGCCTTGGGGCCTCTGTTCTCTGAAAGCTAGCTCTCCCTCCCTTCTGGCCCTCCTCCTGCCTCTCCTTATGAGGGCTGCCCAGATGTCTGTGCCCTACCCATAGCCATATCCAACTGAACCACAGATCAATAGCTAAACCAATCAGATTCACTCCCCTTGGATTCTGGAATTGGTTTGCAGTGAACTGTGGACACCTCACTCTGAAGGGTTTTTGCTCTCAGAGAAGCAGAGAAAGCCAGTGCTGGCAGTGGGTGTCCAGAGAGACGGAAGAGGGATCACACAGCTATACACAGGACGAAAAGCAAGCCCAGTGTAGGGCAGTTTAGTTTCTGCTTCTAGTAACTGGTTTTCTTGTGGTTGGGCCGCATTTCCTGCACTTGAGTTCTTTCCCCACCCTTTTCTTTCTTTATTACTTTTTGTTTTGTTTTGCGTGTGTGGTGCTGAGGATTGAACCCAGGGCCTTGTGCACTCTACCAACTGAGCTATATCCCTAGCCCAAAGTCATCACTGTTTTAAGCCATGAGATTCTGAAGGTGCTTTGTTATTGCTGCATGATCTGCCCTGTCTTGACTGATACGAACACAAAAAAATGCTCAGAAAGAATGGCTGGAACTGCTGATTATGGAGAGAAGAGAGCTCTAGAAAGATAAGACGGAATCATGGAAGTTAAAGTTAGAAACCAGGAGAACATGGGACCAGGGGAGTCATAGAAATCAAACAGAGAAATTGCTCCAAGAAGTATAGAAGGTTGGTGGTGCTTAATGTGCCCAGGGGTCAAGTAAAACAAGGAATAAAATATATCCACGAAATCTGGCGACCAAGAGGTTGTTGGCATCCTTCCTGAAAACAGCATCGCATCGTGCAGTGGTGGTGATGATGAAATGGGACAGAGGGCTGAAGCAGGAAGGGACAACGGGGAAGATTCAGCGGCAGCGGGAGATGGCAGGAGCAAAGCCCTACGGAAGCGCTCTGCCTGCTCTGAACACTTCCTGTTCGTTGAATCATAAGAGGTGTGGCCGTCTGTGTCTGGCTCCTTTTGCTTAGCATGAGGTTCTCAAGCTCTCCCGTGTTGTAGAATGTGTCAGCGCTTCTTTCCTTTTTATGGCTAAATCACATTTCTTTGAATATGTTGATTGGATGAAACTTTTGATGATCCATTCATCCATGGACGGACATTGGACTTGTCTGGGCAGAGCTGTATGCCTGAGTTTCTGGTGCTCTTGGGACTGCATGAATGAATGAGTGAACAGAGCAGTCCAAGGTCACAGAGTTGTTAGGACACAAAGGCAGGACTGGGGGCCAGGCAGCTAGCCCTCTGGAACCTGCATTCTAACCATCAGGCTTTACTGCCTAGTGCAAGTCCTGTTCATCTCCTGTTTTTATAGATACAGGTTGCTGTGTCACTCAGAGTGCTGGCAGGAAAGCTGTCATATACTCAGGTGGCATAACGGATGAGGGACCTTTTACAAAGGTGTGGGCAGAGTTAAGAAAAAGCACTGGGGRACTATGGGGCTGGGGCTAGCAGCACCCCGAAAGGAGGGAGTGGTGGCACCAATATGCAACTGAGCAGGGAGGGGCCAGGAGACTCTATTCTCCAGCCTCCTGACCTAGAAATTAGGGAGGCTCTGATGCAGCTTATCTGGGTGAGAAAGAACAAATTAGCTCAGACTGGAAAACTAAAAATCTCCCTGGCCATTTACTAGCCTGGAATAACAGGAAAATGGATAAAGTCAGCCACAGAGATAACAGGGAACAATATGTCTCTGCATCTATGAAGTGATAATATTCCCATCCCATCTTTGACAAACTGCTGCTTTCTTCCTCCTGAGAAACACGCCCCTCTGAAATCACACACAGTCAGAAACTTGGCTATTTGCAGCGATATGACTTAGAATGAAATCTTTCACTCTTGCCCTGAGGATCTAAGTCACTCTGACCCAGAGAAGTGCCTCTGTGTGTACCTCAGAGCTTCAGACAAAGGGTTTCTGGATACAAGGCTCGTCATTGATCTTGGCTTTATTGCTTCTAAGGAAACAGGGCCCTGGGTCCCCTTTGCAATCTATATTTGAAGTTGTCTGCTTTCCTCTGAGCCTATTGAAACACGACTTCATCTCAACTCGACCTTCCTTGGAATCCTACAGTAGCCTCATCTCCTCCCTTGTTTGGTGATATCTTGGGCTCCCATGGTGGGGCATCTCTCTCACAGGAAGGTCAAGAAACACAGTGGACTGCCACTTAGTTCCTGGTGATTTGAGGCTGATTGGGCTGTCATGGGTTCACCCCCCCAGGGCACAAAGGAGGATGGAGAGTAAATCTAGAGGATCAATTGGGAGAGATTCAGCATAGAAATAAAGTACCCCACCATCCAGAGTATTGTCAAGGACAGGGGAAGGAAAAAGGGACACTTTCATTCAAGAAGTGCTCCTATACATCTGGGGTTGAATAAAGAGCTGTAGAAAGGAATCAATCTGTGAGTGGGGTTTGAGGCAATAGAAAGATCTAGGCTCTTTCCACAGGCACAATGGAAGTATTGGGTCTCCTGACATTTGAAGGGCTGCCCCTTTCTCCCAAATGAAATGAGTTCAAAAAAGCRAAAGGAAAGAGGGGAAAGGGAGAATTCTAAAAATGCCACACTCTGAACACCATCTTTGTGCAGGCGTCTGGGGGAGGCCAGCTGGGGCGGGGTCCTCTGCCAGTCRGGCCTGTAGGACTTGGTTCTTCTTGTTTATCCCAGTCACATCTGGGGCAGTTGCCAGGGCCCGCCCCCACTCTGCGGTCATTGGAGGAGCTCAAAGTTAAAGGATCCCACTAAGAATCAGTACGTTTCATTTTGCGGTTCCTGGGGGGAAGTGGGCAATCGCCCTGGCCTTGAGCAGGGAGCGAGCCTCTCACCATGCCGGCCTGCTGCAGCTGGAGTGAGGTTTTCCAGTATGAGACAAACAAAGTCACCCGGATCCAGAGCGTGAATTATGGCACTATTAAGTGGATCTTGCATGTGATCATCTTTTCCTACGTGTGGTGAGTGGCGCAGGGGGTGCGCAAATCTCTGCAGCGAGGAAACCCCAAGGGGCCGTTTCAGGTGCACATCCTGAGTCCACGTGCCTTTCAAGGCTGAGGACCTCCCAGCAACTGGGAGGAAGCTGCGCAGGCTGCAGCTGGAGGAAGCCACCGAGGGAGGCGAGTTTGACTCCATTCAGCTCCAGCCCAAGCCTGCCAGGTGGCGCAGGGCTGGGCATGCCTGGGGAAGGTGGGAACACAGGGCGACACCCTGGATTTCCAGGGAGGAGGCAGGGATTTCAGGTACACCTGGTGATACTGTTGGCGTCTGGATCACCATGCTGAGGGGAAGGAATAGGACCAGGCTTGTAAATGTCTCTGTGGGCTCCCTTTGTTTGTGTTTTGTTTTTTATTCGTGTGTGGGTGTGGTGCTGGGGATCAACCCCGGGGTGTTGTGTCTAGAAGCTGCTCTACCACTGAGCCACAACCCCTGCCCCTGCTTTTATTATTTTAAAAACAGTTCATTGAGATTCATACACTGTACAACTTGCTCATTTAAAATGAATAAGTCGCTGGTTTTTAGTGTGTTCACAGAGTTGTGCGATTATCACTATAATCAGTTTAATACATTTTCCCCTCCCAAAAAGAATCCTACACCCCTCAGCCATCATATCCAGCCTGCCTCCTATACCCCCTTAGCTCCAGGCACCCACTAATCCACTTTCTGTCTCTGTGGATTTACCCTTTCTAGATATTTCATATAGATGGAATCATGCAGTGTGCGGTCCTTTGTGACCCACCTTTTTTCTTTACCATGTTTTCAAATGTTCATCCATGTTGTAGCATGTATCAGTATTTCATGCTCTTTAATGGCTGAATAACAGTCCATTGCATGAATAGGTCACGTTTATTTATCCATTCATCAGTCGATGGACATTAAGGTTGTTTCACGAATAATGCGACCATGAACATTTGTGTCTGAGGTGTGGTGGTGTGTTCTCATTTCTCTTGGATGTGCACCTAGGAGTGGGACTGCTGAATCATATGCTAATGACATTTCACCTTCAGAGAAACAGAAGGTCCGTTTCCCACAGCTGCTACATGTCTTCACATTTCCACCAGTAGAATGTGAGGATTCCAGTCTCTCCATACCCTCACCAACACTTACTAGTGTGCCTTTTTATTATAGCCAACCTAGTGAGCATGGGGTGGCATCTCTTTGGGTTTGACTTCCATTTTCCTTAAAGCAAATGCCTTATTCTCTGTGGTGGTGGTGGTGGTGCTGCTGCTGCTGCTGCTGCTAATGATAAATTGTATCCACACAGGGAAACACTGTAGTGTACTAAGAGAACATCTATCTTATAATCACTTAACCTCTCTGAGCCTGATTCTGCATCTGTTCAAATCATTGTTGTGTCAAACAGGGAATGTAGCTGGGTGTGGTGGTGCATATTTGTAATCAGAGACTTGGGAGGCTGAGGCAGGAGGATCACAAGTTCAAGGCCAGCCTCAGCAACTTAGCCAGACCCTATCTCAAAAGAGAAAAATAAGAAGTGCTTGAGATGTAGCTCAATTGTATAACAGCCCTGGGTTCAATTCCCCAGTACTGAAAAGAGGGGGATAGCACCAAAATCCCTTATGAGCACCATTAACTGGTAGTTATTTTTAAAAATCACATTTGTGAATGTAATTGGACATCCTGTCCTCTGAGTCTCAAAGTAACCACATCCAGGCTTGGATTTGAGATCTTAGGATGTAGATACAAAATTTTTCTCCCATCTTTGGGCCTTGGTTCCCTCATCAATAAAATAGGGATCATTGTTGGGACCATTAAATGGGCTAATAAATGCAAAACTGTTAGAGAGATGTATGGCACATAACAAGCCCCTGTCGGAGTGTTAGTCCTTATTAAAACACCATTGTTAGGATTATCATTATTTATTTCACACATTTACTATTTAACAAATATTTATATTTATATATATATTTTTTAAAAAAGCTAGAGGTCTGGGGTTGTGGCTCAGTGGTAGAGCACTCACCTAGCACGTGCAAGGTGCTGGGTTTGATCTTGAGAACCACAAAAAAATGAATGAATAAAATGCTAAACAACTAAAAAAAATTTTTTTTTGAAAGCTATAAAAAAGATAACTCTAGGGGCTGGGACTGTGGCTTAGTGGTAGAGCACTCACCTCAGCACCACATTAAAAAAAGGCATTGTGTTGTGTCCATCTACACCTGGGGAATAAATGTTAAAAAAAAAAAAAAGATAACTCTACACAAAGTGCTTTTTTCCCCACTTTAAAAAAATCTGGTCCAATTAATTATATATGACAGTAGCATGCACTTTGACACATCATACATAAATGGAGTATAACTTCTCATTCTTCTGGTTGTACATGCTGTAGAATCACACTGGTCATGTAGTCATGTAAGCACATAGAGTAATAATGTCTGATTCATTCTAATATCCTTCCTAACCTCATACCCCCTCTCTTCCCTTCTCTCCTCTCTGTCAAATCCAAAGTAATTCTGTTCTTCCCTAGCCGCCCCCCTATTGTGAATTAGTATCTGCATATCAGAGAAAACATTCAGCCTTTGGTTTGGGGGGATTGGCTTATTTCACTTAACATGATATTCTCCAGCTGTATCCATTTACTGGCCAGTGCCATAATTTCATTCTTCTTTGAGGCTGAGTAATATTCCATTGTGTATATATACCACATTTTCTTTATCTATTCATCTGTTGAAGGGCACCTAGGTTGGTTCCATAGTAGAGCTATTGTGAGTTGAGCTATAAATATGGATGTGGCTGTGTCCCTGTAGTATGCTGATTTTAAGTCTTTTGGGTATAAACCGAGGAGTGGGATAGCTAGGTCAAATGGTGGTTCCATTCCAAGTTTTCTGAGGAATCGCCATACTGCTTTTCATAATGGTTGCACCAATTTGCAGTCCCACCAGCAATGTATGAATGTGCCTTTTGCTGCACATCCTCGACAATATTTATTGTTGCTTGTATTCTTGTTAACTGCCACTCTGATTGGAGTGAGATGAAATCTTAGAGTAGTTTTGATTTGCATTTGCATTTCTCTAATTGCTAAAGGTGTTGAACATTTTTTCATATATTTGTTGATTGATTGTATTTCTTCTTCTGTCAAGTGTCTGTTCAGTTCCTTAGCCCATTTATTGATTGTGTTATTTTTTTTCTGTTAAGCTTTTTGAGTTCCTTATATATCCTAGAGATTAGTGCTCTATCTGAGATGCGTGTGGTAAAGATTTTCTCCCATTCTATAGGCTCTCTCTTCATGTTACTGTTTCCTTTGTTGAGAAGATTTTTAGTTTGAATCCATCCCATTTATTGATTCTTGATTTTATTTCTTGCACTTTAGGAGTCTTGTTAAGGAAGTCAGATCCTAGGCAGATGTGGTAAAGATTTAGGCTTACATTTTCCTCTATTGAGTGCTAGGTCTGTATTCTTGTGCCTAAGTCTTTGATCCACTTTAAGTTATTTTCATGCAGGGTGAGAGATAGGGGTTTAATTTCATTCACAAAATGCTTTTTTTTTACTGTTTTATTTAAAAATATAAAATCAAAGAAAAAATATTGCTAATTTGCTTTCTTCCTCTTTGTTAATGGAGTATCTATAAACGTTTCACCAAATGGGGTCTCATAGCTCACAGCTTGGGAATGCTGCCTTAAGTGACAGGCAACCGGGACTCAGCCAGCTGTGATGCGGTAGACCACAGGACTGGGAGAGGTAGTTTGCACCAGGTAGGACTGACCTGGATCACAGCCAGTGAGGGGCTCTTGGGCTGAAAGGGCAAAGAGCCAGGCTAAGGAAGTAAAGTGAAGCCTCAGTTCTGAGCATGGTGAACAAGGCAGGGGCTGGCTACAGGAGAAATAAGGCAAGAGCCTGATCAGCTTCTTGGTCTCTCCCAACCAAGTCTATATCTGGAGTTGAAGGCAAGGAGGCACCGACGAGAGGCGTCAGGCAGCTCCAGCTTGCTGGGCTATAGGATCGTGGGGACAGGATGCTGACCAGGACTGTCAGTCAGAGTTTGGGGTAGTAATTGACAAAAATCTAACTCAAGTTAATCACAAAGGTACCATGTGGGATCTATTGGATCATGAAACTGGGCAATTAAAGAGATGGGGCTGTCCTCAGACAGGAATGAACATGAGTTTAAACTAGGTCACTGGGGTGGGGCTCTCTCCCCAAATCTGTTTGGCTCTACAGATGCTCCTTGGCTTATGACAGAATTATGTCCTGAGAAACCCATTGAAAGTTAAAAATATACTAAGTCCAAAATGCATCCAATACACCTATCCTATTGAAGATCACAGCTCAGCAAAGCAGCACACCGTACAGCGCAGTTGTGATCGTGATTGCTGGCTGTCTGGGAGCTGAGGCTCACAGCCTCTGCTCAGCAGCAAGGGACAGTGCTGGGGACCAGAGCTGTGGCTCAGTGGTCGAGTGCTTGCCTAGTATGTGTGAGGCACTGAGTTCAATTCCCAGAATCACATAAAAATAAACAAATAAAATAAAGGTATTAAGGTATTGTGTTCATCTACAACTAAAAAAAAAAAAGCTCAGGGAAAAATTATCAAAATTAGAAATACAGTTTCTACTGAATGCTTATTCATACCATTGTAAAGTCAAAAATCTTAAGTCCAATCATTGCTTGGTTGGGGACGGTCTGTATGTAGTTTCCTTCTTGATCAAGCTAAGTAGCAAGATGACATATCCTCACACCCTCTCCAGCAGCTTCAGGGGAACAAACCAATCTCTCCTGACAACTCTGGTAAGAAGGTCCCAAGGAAGACTCTGATTGGTCAGATCTGAGTTAGGGGGTCCCATCCCTAAACCAATCACTGTAGCTAAAGGGATGGTGTCTTCTGAATTGTCAGCCTTGGGTCACGTTCTGGCTCCTGTGCCAGGAATTAGGGAGAAGAGGGCAGAGTGAGCCTCCCCTGAACCACTCCTAGTGGATTTGCCTTAGGAAAGAATTCTGTTACCAAAAGAA